GGCGATGTAGATCTCTGGTGGGTTGGTTTGAGCCGGACGAGGCTAGGCTATTGGGTACTGACTTGGTTCAGGATGCTTTGGACAAGGTTAAATTGATTCAGGAGCGGCTTCGCACGGCGCAATCAAGACAAAAGAGTTATGCTGACAGAAAGGTTCGTGATGTGTCTTACATGGTTGGGGAGAAGGTTCTACTGAAGGTTTCACCCATGAAGGGTGTTATGAGGTTCGGGAAGAAGGGCAAGTTGAGCCCACGATTCATTGGGCCTTTTGAGGTACTTCAGAGGATTGGGGAGGTGGCTTACAAGCTTGCCTTTCCACCTAGCTTGTCGAGTGTGCATCCAATATTCCATGTTTCTATGCTCCGGAAGTATATCGGCGATCCGTCTCATGTTTTTTATTTCATCATGGTTCAGTTGGATGGTGATTTGACTTATGATGTGGAGCCGGTGGCTATTTTGGAGCGGCAGGTTCGAAAGTTGAGGTCAGAGGATATAGCTTCTGTGAAAGTGCAGTGGAGAGGCCAGGCCGGGGAGGTGGCTACTTGGGAGACTGAGCGGGAGATGCGGAGCAAATATCCACACTTATTTGAGGCTCCAGGTATGTTTCTAGACCCGTTCGAGGATAAACGTTTGTTTAAGAGGGGGAGGATGTAACAACCCGGCCGGTCATTTTGAGAGTTATAGCCCCGTTCCCCCATTTCCTGCTTCTTTTGTGTTCTACAACTGTATTATGACTTACCGGGTTAGTTGGTTCGGGTCCAGAGTGATTTCAGAATGAATAGAGATACTTAGTCTCTTACTTGAAAGCTTAAGTTGGAAAATTTTACCGGATGTTGACTTATGTGTAAACGACCTCGGATTTGGATTTGATGATTCCGTTAGCTCCATTAGGTGATTTTGGACTTAGTAAAGCATCCGGATTTTGTTTTGGAGGTCCGTAGTAGAATTAGGCTTGAAATACCGAAAGTTAGAATTTTAGAAAGTTTTACCGGCAATGGAAATTTTAATATCGGGGTCGGATTTAATTTTTGGGAATGGGAGTAGGTTCGTGGTGTCATTTATGACTTGTGTGCAAAATTTGAGGTCAATGAGACGTGATATGATAGGTTTCGGCGTCGTTTGTAGAACTTGGAAATTTGAAAGTTCATTAGGCTTGAATCCGTGTATAATTCGTGTTTTTGATGTTGTTTGAGGTGATTTTAGGATTCGACTAAGTTTGTATGATGTTTTGGGACTTGATGGTATGTTTGGTTGAGGTCCCGAGGGCCTCGGGGTGATTTCGGGTGGCTAACAGCTTGATTTTGAGTTGAGGAATGCAGTTGAAGTATTGTTGCTACTGGTGTAACCGCACCTGCAGAGTGAGCACCGCAGGTGCGAGCCCGCAGAAGCATGGAAAGGATCGCAGATGCAACTAAGGACGAGATGGGCAGAGGTCGCAGGTGCGAAGACTTTCCCGCACCTATGATGGTCGCAGAAGCGGACAGTGGGGCGCAGATGCGAGTATGGGTCCGCAGGTGCGATGTGATTTCCGCACCTGCGATATGCGCTGATGCGGTACGGTGACCGCAGAAGCGGAGGAAGCTGGGGTAAGTGACTTCCGCAGAAGAGGGGATTTTACCGCAGGTGCGGATAGAGGGCCACAGGTGCGAAAAGCCTGGACTGAATGTTTAAAAATAAGGTTCGCGATTTTAGTCTTATTTCAACATTTTGGACTCGGACTTAGGCGATTTTGGAGAGGATTTTCGAGGGGATTATTGAGGTAAGCTTCTTGTACTCGTTTTTTTATCATAAACCTTGTTTCCCCATTAATTTTTTCACCTAGATTGTGTGGTGTTGAGGTGAAATTTGGGGGGTTTGAGGCTAGGGATTTGGAGAATGAATTTTGGGGATTTGGGTGACCATTTGATGTTGTACTTTGATAAATTTGGTATGGTTAGACTCCTGAGTGAATGAGCTTTCGAGTTTTGTGATTTTTGTTGGATTTCGATACTTGGGCCCGGGAGCCGGGTTTGAACCAATTTCGGATTTTGGCTATAATTTAGTAGTTTTCTTGTGGAACTGATCCCTTTAGCCTTTATTGATTGTATTGTACTACTTGTGACTAGATTCGGGACGTTTGGAGATCGATTTGAGGGGCAAAGGCATTGCGGAGTAGGATTTTGCCCGAATTGAGGTAAGTAACGCTTTCAAACTTGGCTCTGAGGGTTTGAAACCCCAAATTATGTGTTATGTGATTGGTATTGAGGTGACACACATGCCAAGTGACGGGCGTGCGGGCGTGCACCATGAGAATTGTGACCTAGTTGATTCCATGGCACTGTATAGTGACTCTATCTTGTTGAAATTCGTGTTCTCACCATGTGATAAAGTAACTGAGCTGTCAATCATGCTAGATATCATGTTTAGGCTTTATGCCGGTACTATTGGGACCCATTGTGGTCGTTTCTTGATGTCATCTCACTGATTTCATTGATATTTCGTACTCAGTCATGTACATGAATTTCATATCATATCTCAGTCTCAGTTGTTATTTATTGATACATCATATCATTGTTTGGGCTAGTTTTTTATGACATTGTGAGCCCGTGAGTGAGACTGGAGAGATTGATGACTGAGTGAGGCCGGGAGCCTGATTATGAGTGACAATTATGGGATCGGGCTGCACGCCGTAGCGGTTATATTGATTTGTGATAGCGCTTGGGTTGTAGGAGCTCCTCTGGAGTCTGTACATGCCCCCAGCGAGCGCGGTTGATATTATTGAGGGATGGATCTTCCCTGTACATGGATCTTGTCCGAAGTACTTGATACCTGGAGATGGATCTTCTCCACAGGCTGGATTGGCCTTCCTGTGTATTGGGTGACTTATAGTCAGTGATGTATATGTTCCGGGATGGATCTTTCCTGGGTCGTATGGGCCGTATACAGTACCGAGTGGTTGAGCATTTGAGATTGTGATCACATGAGGCTGACAGCATTGTGCATCACATACAGTATGTGCATTGGCATGTAGAGATAGCAGAGTTATATTCTTTATACTGTTCAGACCTGCTTTACTTTACTGTGTTGGGTTGCCTATTTAATTTTAAAGCATGCATACGTTTCTGCACAGTTACTTTTATTTTATATGTACCGGTTGAGTTCGTCACTACCTTTCAGCCCAAAGTTTGGACTCGTTACTTACTGAGTTGGATGTACTCACTTTACTCCCTGCACCTCGTGGGCAGATCCAGGCGATTTTGGTCACGGCGGCGGTTGCTGATCGAGGCTTCAGAGTTTGAAGACTATCAAGGTAGCTGCACGACATTCGCAGGCCTTGACTCTCCTTCTTTATCATTAGTTGTATTTTCAGTTATTTCTCTAGACGCTGTAGTGGACTGTATTCTGATTTAGATGCTCATGTACTCGGTGACACCCCGGTTTTGGGTTGGATTGTATCGCATTTTGGGATTTATTCTGTTTTAAAAAAGGTTTCTTAAATGTTAAATGTTTCCGTTGTTATTCTCAAAGTTATTCTTATTGTGATGAGTTGTTAAGTAGAGGTTGGTTTAGTTCTACGATAGGCGCCATCTCGACGGCTGATTTTGGGTCGTGACACATTACAGGTCATATTCGTTTTAATTTGAGAATATTATTCAATAATTTATATTTGATTCAACGAGAATTAACATATGTATACATCTTGAATTTCAAGGGAGGGCTATTTGTACATCATTCCCCTTTACAATTTTAAAATTAAGAAAATAATCTTTTTAGATCTCTTATGTGTAAACGATAGATCTCTTACGTGTAAAAATAAATCACTCATGTGTAAAAAAAGAGATAGGATCATAAAACCAAAAACCAAGTTTGTAAAGAGCCACAAAATCAATTGAATACGGACTTTGTGTTTTACCTCTAGCTATTTCAATTTTGTATTTAATTTAGCAAATTAAATTTTACAAGCTTAAGAATGGAATAACATTTACTTATTGAAGTAATGATTGTGGATAGGGGTGTCATGGTTCGGTTTGGATCGGTTTTTTCCTTAAAAAATCAAACCAAATAAGTCGGTTTTTTAAATATTGGAACTAAATCAAACCAATTAAGTTGGTTTTTTATCGGTTTGGTTTATGTCGATTTTTTTTTTCCAGTTATTTATCGATTTTTTCTTAAATATGAGACATACACTACCAAACATGTATTCCGGCAACTACATTTTTAACGTAGCACTATCAAATCAATTACTCTTTGATAAATATATCATTCACCCAGATATACTGATGATAGTTGATTCAAATAGTGATGAATAATTTAAGGAATCAATTAAAAATAGATAACTTTTAACATGAAATAGATTCTTGTACTTAGCAAAAGAAAACTACCAATCAAACTAGAATGTAAATGCAAAGAACTAGATTATTATAATAGCAAAGAACTAGACTAAAAGTGCAAAAGATTAACATGTACCATTAAATTTTAGAAACTTTGTATAAAAATATACATATATAAGTGAAATAATAAATTTTAAATAGTTACTTCTACAGTCGGCTTGGTTCGGTGTTTTTCGGTTATTTTTTTGTTAAAACCAAAATCAAATCAAATTTGATTGGTTTTTAAAATTTAAATCCAAAATCAAACCAAACTAAAAAAATATCACTTTTTTTTGTCGGTTCGGCTTGATTGGGTTTTTATGAACACTCCTAATTGTGGATAAAGTTATAAAGTTTCTCCACTGATATGTATCATTCCAATTTTTTTCTCAAAATTCTACATAAATTTATGGCAAAATCGTAGAAGTAGATGAAGCTGACGTTCAATATGTTTAAGTTTAAGTAAATCAATAAAAATGTTGCTGGTGGGAGGTGATAAATATCCTCTAAAATAATTGAGGTGCGTTTAAGCTAGCCTTAATATCATAAAACAATAGTTACTAGTCCCACCAAAAAAAATAAACAATGTGACTACTAATGTGTCAAAACAACAAACAAAGATGCTGTTACATTGCCACCAAGTGGACAGAGTTTGTACAGAATATACTAGGGTGGTGTCTGTCACTTTGAGAATCTTGTCAACAGCTAGCCATGGAGAAACACAATTCCTTAATGCTAGTACCAATGCCACCGACACGCCGCCACCGAAGCGGCGCAGAATACTCACCTTACGGCCAACTAATGGTTGTGCCACCTACCACCACCGCCATTACTCCCTACAGTACATACTCAAGCAGCTTTAAGCTACCCCCTGGTTGGGGTATTCAAGAAGTTCCTCGCTCTGATGGCTCTCGAGTTGACAAGGTCTCTGCATTTCCTTTTAACTTCACTTTGTAGAGAATTTAATGTATTTTTTATGCATTGATAGTCTAGAACTTTTTCTAGAAAAAATAATATTGCATATACACTCTCAAAATAATAGCAGAAAAAATATATATTTTTTTGTATATATATATATATATATTCGGTATGTTATATACAAATTTTATACATTTTTCGGCTACCAAATGTAAATAGTTTCTTTAGCAGGCTAAAAGTGAAAAAGTCCACAGGTTAACATGACTTACCATAACAAGCAACTGTCGATAATAAGACTAATTTGTTAAGCTGAAAAATAAAGTTACATAATTTGTTGTAATAGGTAAAATCATACTAATAGTGTGAAACTTCTTTACATTATCTGTGTGTATATAATATGTTAAATTCTTTTGCATATTACTTGAGTGAATTTGTTTCATGCACGCTATTCGTTTCTATTTTTACTTAATTGTTTCTGGTTTGGATCTTTCAACAAGAGAAAACAGGGATGAATTACTTTAAATTCAAAGCCATGAGATTTTGAGTTAGGTGGTGCGGTGAAAAGGGTGAAAAGGGTAAGTGGTAGAAGAATGTGCAGTCTGGTGCACTAAGCTCCCGCTATGTGCGGGGTCCGGAGAAAGACCGGACCACAAGGATCTCGTACACAGCCTTACCCTGCATGTCTGCAAGAGACTGTTTTCACAGCTCGAACCAGTGACCTCGTGGTCACATGGCAGCAACTTTACACGTTATGCCAAGGCTGCCCTTGTAAGTGGTAAAAGCAAGATACAGTAAATTGCTTAATTCGATTTTGAAATTGACAGGGTAACATGTTGAATATTTTTGCCTCTCCAACTATTCAGGAGGGGCGGATGTAGCTCACTGACAAAGGCTGAGTGTTGCTATAGTATTATACTTGTGTTCTTCCTTTCAAGAAATATTGCAAGTTTCAGAGTGCTCTGCATATTTTACTCTTAATTTTGATGCATAGACTATCCATTATATCAGTAACCTGTTTTTGAGTGATTTTGTCGCAGAATTTGAACAATAATGTATTTGTTAGACACAAAGGCTGAGCCGGGATTTCAATCTTTTGGGTTCTGGATTTTAGAACGACGATTTCAAGTATCAGTGACTGGGTTCTAAATTTTATATTTGTACATCTTTAATGAATTTTAAACATCAAATACATTATTTAAGCAAAAGTTATTGGGTTCAGTATAACCCGTCGATTGGCTTCTGCCTCCGTCCCTGGCTGGAAAACCGGATAATTTGTCCCTCGGGAACTTATACGGTAGGTCCACGGTGTAGCTGCCAAATAATAGAAGCATCAAGGAGTTTTGAAGAAAGCTGAATTTAATTGAAAATTGGTTCGCGAGATCTTTTAGTCTTTAAACTGTATGTATAGCTAACAAGATCTCAAATGATAAGAACTGCTCCGTGGACTAAATATTACTGGAAGTCTCTAATGTTATAAGCGAGAATAAATATCAAATTTCGATGGATTTCTGACGAGGTACTGAACTTTTTAGTGACTTATATAGGCTTTAGTACCTTCTTTTTTCCCTTGTGATGGAGCTAGCTCGACGATACCTAAATGACAGATTGTTTGTTAAGGTGCAAATTGTGTTTATTACATCATACTCTATAACAGACATTACGGTTATCATGCAGTACTACTATGAGCCTGGGACTGGGCTAAAGTTCAGATCACTGAGAGAAGTCGAGAGACGATTGAACGGTGAAATATTTGCTCCTAGATCCAGGGCATTGGTAGTGAGACACAATCAGGCAAGTGTAAACGTTGAATATTTCAAAAGGATGTTTGTAATTTCTCTCGTCTTTATGATGTCTAAGTTTGAATACTCTCTTTCTTATTTTGGTCTTTTTCTGTTTCAATTATCGACGGAGTATTCATACTTCACAGAGTTCTCTATCTCGGAAGATGGTTGTTTATGGTGGAAAGGTACAGATTAACTACACTTTGGCCCTCATTCTTTGACTTAATTACTTTTGATGGATGGGATGTGTGGAATCTATTAGTAATTTCCCTTTGTTAACATTACTTCTTGTGTTCCTTTTGTCGGTTATATGTAAACTATTGGATCCCCTTGACATGAAGAAAAAATTCTAGTGTAGCGATAAGGGGGTTCAAAAGTTGTTGTAGGTCATTGGCTTAATTCACGATTGTGACATTCTAAATTTTTTTGAATCCCCTTGCATAAATTCCTGGTTTCCCCATTGGTAAAAGGGGATGCAAAGCCATAATGCCATTTGCTCAGAAATATTAGGTGAATGAATCCAGGGAATTATATTCCTTGACAGATAGTTAGACAACAAACAAGCTCATTTTACTTTGATTTTATGCTATGCAAGTTAAGACTGAAACTGATGCGACGAAATTGCAGATAGTGAGAATGGATGAAGAGCAGTTGAATCAATGGGCAATTGTGCCGTCAAGAAGTGCAGCCACCTTACCCTATGAACTTCCAGATGGTTGGGTGATAGAAGAGGTACCACGTAGAGACGGAAGCTTCGTGGACAAGGTACACTCTCCTGTTCTTCAAAAATAGTGAATTCATTTATCTTTCTTGATGTCAGCTGCTATCAAGTTTGCCCAGATTGGCTTTATCACTTATGTCTAGAAAATGATGATTCCTTACATGATCCAAAGTTTAAACTTCTGAAAGTTCTAAGTATTGTTTTCGTATCCAAGTTAAGAGATCATTCCCCTAAGAATGGATAGCGGGAGACGAGGCAGGTGGAATACAATCAACCTGAAAATTGGTAGCCCTGTTCGTATGCTTTTCCTAAACATCTTACATCACGTTTTATGTAGGAGATCAACTGTCAAAAATAATTGTTTCATGTATAAGATCATTGATTTAAGTGCTTCAGTTTTGCATGAATTGCAGAGAGCTATTTGAGCGAAACTGTTCGAATAGACAAGTTATAATAGTATCTCTTTAAGTGGCAGGCATTGAGTGTATTACTGAATCACCCGTGCAGTTAATAGTCAGAGGTGGACCTATGTTGTAAAGAGAGGGGTCGCCAGCACCCGGAAAGTTCGACAAAAATTCCACATATATAAGTATATGTCTTTAAAGAATCATATAGTGATATATTAGTAGTGACACCCTATATACAAAGCAGATTTTGGTTAAATACAAAAGTGCACCCGTGACCTTCAAATCCTTGGTCCGCCTCAAGTTATAGCATTATTGGAATTGGAAACGTGATTTTATTTTCAAAACCTTGCTGATATGTCACAAGCAATCTATCTTATGGAATGTGCTAAACCTTCTCTTTACCATGTCGATTTCTTTTTCTGTGTGAAGTTCCATTGATTAACATGATGTTCTTTCTCATTTTCACAACTATGACAAAGACTATCCCTTTTCACGTTTTCCCCCTTTTGTTCTGGCGAGGAGCCTTCTGCTGAAGTTGTAACTAATTTATTTCCTCATACGCAGTATTACTATGAACCAGGAACTGGACTAAAGTTTAGGTCCAGAATAGCAGCACAGAGATACTTGGCAGAAATGAGAGAAGATGTTCCTTTATCTGCTACTCTAGAAGAATTAAAAGAGAATAAACCGTTGTCCAAGATGTTTAAGTTGCACCATCATGCAAAGGTGAGCTAATATCTTGAACGTCAAAATGCATGACATTTATCTCTTTTTGATGTCAAGATATGTCTTCTTTTGTGCCTTTGTAGAAATCTGTTCCATGTGAGAGAAACATCTCCAGAGAGGATTCGCAGAAGTCGTCATTTCTTTCTCCACCGGCTAAAGTAAATTGGGTTCTTTCTAGTTCTAAAGGTGATTCTTGGGACCCTTTCATTGCCGGAACACCAATCCCTGATTCGGTAAAACAGCAATGGACTAAAAGATTCATGTTGTTCATGAATGATGATGACTCTGAATGCAGAAAACTCAGACTAGAAAGGTAAACCAAAGCGCTAAAGCTTCAACTGATCTATACTCCCTTTTCATATGCAGATCGAATAGTACTGTGTGATCACATATGTTTCTAATCAATCGGTTATCTTCCTTGCAGTTAAAGACGGATAGCTGGAGAGTCCAGAAAATATATCGCAGTTGGAAACAGTAGTGTATGTTACAAGCAAAGATTGGACTGCTTCTGACCTAGAGATTTACATGCTAATCTTGTACATACTAACATTATGGAACTCCATCTAATATTACTTCCTAACCATTGTACAGAATCTGTTGTCCTGTTTATTTCTATGTCCGCTCGTGCTCTCGATATCCAACTGATGTATCCTATTACAGTTTTGGCAACTTTTTTCTATGGTGCATGTTTACCTTGTATTTGATTGGCATAGAGTTTTAAAAAAAGGAAAAATACAGTAAGTGGTTATTCTTTCGGAACTAACTAAACAGAAAATAGTGTCGCATAAAATGAAACGCTCTATTTACATCATTACAAAGGCAAATTAAAGACTTCATTTGAGGAATTAGGATCATAAAAATCGACTCATTTGGTTCATGCCTGCTGCAATGAAACAGAACACTTTGATTTGTGTTCAGCCAAAAGTTTGGCAATTGAAAGGTACCAGGAATTTGGACAATCTTGGAACCATGCATTCACACGTTAAACAACTAGCAAAATTCCTAGGAATGGAAAAGAATGTATGATTAAATAAGGAAAAGAGCCCAATAAAGTCTTATTTTCCTACAAGTAATATATCTCAGTTTCCACTCTGAAACAGGAACCACCTAAATAAACTTATAAAAATAAAAATTAAAAATCAAATATTAATGCCTACATATCCTTGAAAATATTCTCTATCTGCCATCAAATTGATAGCTTATGCTATTCCTTCACTAAGAAGCAGTGACATTATTTAAGAATGTCACCTCCCAGATAAGTACCGGGACAGATTGTCCCTTAAAACTGAAGCAGTCTTGTCGACAGATTCACAAACCTCTTGCCCGTATCCTGTATCGTGGTGATGAGATAGAGAAAACTCGTCCAGAACCTCATCTTCCATGTCGATGACAATGTTGTGGAGAATGCAGCAAACAAGGATAAATCTCGGTAGCTTGTGCTTGTCCGGCCTCCACATTAATCCATGAATCATTTTCCAGACTTCCTTTAGCCTAGCCAATGCCCTTTGTGCCACGATCCGGGTTGCAAAATGTTTCTTATTGAACTCAGCTTTAGATTCTGAAAGTTCTTTCCCTTGATAAGGAGTTAAAAGCCAAGGTAGCAAGGGAAAACCAGAATCACCAATAATATATTCGCGTAGTTCTGCTTCTTCGGACAACTTTATCTTGTTCCCGTTCAATCTATCTCCTTTCTCGCAGAGTTTAAAAAAGGTTGAGCTCTGAAGTACTGAATTCTCTTTCATCTTTCCTGGCAATCCCGTGACAACATCACGGAACCTCATATCGGGATCAACAACTGCTTGTAGGATCATGCTGTGGTTCTTGTTTTGATCAAGCCATACGTCAGCTGTTTGCTCGGATGAGGATAACATCATTGTGATGTGTGTAGTATCGATTGCACCACAACAGTTTGGAAGTCCTTGGATTCTTTCGAATTTGGACTTTATCTGTGACATATCTTGCTCGGTGGAAGGCCACCGTAGGTGGTGAAGCCCCTTCTCCTCAATAGCCTCTATAAAGCGCCAAGTTACTTGAGACACAGTTGAGTGGTGTGCACCAAACGAGTCACCCACTGAAATTAGAGAATTACCCGAGCTCAGCCTCCTTAGAGCTAGCGCTACTTGCTCATGCAAAGACATGGGCTTGCCATTTGAGAACACAAAGTGGGCCGACTTTGGCTGCATGTGCTCCTTTGCAAGGGAACATATGTAGTCGAAAGTGCTTCTAGACATCTTGAAAACAGATTGGAACTTATCCAAACCCTTCGATGGAGAAACATTTCCTGCAGAAAAGATAATTTATCCACAGCAGCAAAATAATCAAATTTCATGCTGACCATCCAAAAAGGCAGGATTCACTTGTGATCAATCACAATCGAGAAATGAGAGTATGAGCCTTAGAAAGAATCTGATTTAGTCTCCACCAAATATGTATTTAAGGTAATCCATGACACTGGACCGAGCAGTCAATGTCCTTGCTACTAATTCGGGGGGGGGGGGTGGGGGGGGTGGAAGCATCCAAGATAAGATACTAAGAGCTTACAATTTGTCAAGTTCAAGAACTTTGGTAGATTAAGAAGGCAAGGTAAAATAAGTAATCCTATTTGCTATTTACAACTATCATGCAAATATACACCTGAAAATGAATTTAAAAAACGAAAATCACACAGTTGAGCACATCTAACAGCAAGATGTTTAATGTTAAGCAACATTGCACGACAAGATAAATCATTTGACTCCATGTGCAGACTTCATTTTGGTCGAATAGGCTGGTGGTTATGTTTGTAACAGTTTTAAACTGTAATACTTTTACTGCTTTTACAATAATTAAAAAATAAAATTAGTTCTTCTTGCATAAGGAATCAAGAAAGTTTGATTCTTACTAGTAATCCCTTGAAATAAAGCAAACAGGCTCGCGAAAGCTTTTCAAGGTCTCATGCACAATTCAGTTAGGAAAGTAAAAAGGGTAGTCTCCCGAATCATCCATTATGGATCAAACCATTCATCATTCATCAGAGTTTAAAAAAAAAGGGGGCCAGCCCGGCATACGAAGCATCCCACGTTCATGCAGGGTCCGCAGAAGGGCCGCACCCCAAAGGGGTGTGATGCAGGCAACCTAACCTGATGCAAACATCATAGGCTATTCCACAACTTGAACCCGTGAGCTATAGGCGTTTTATCATCAGATGCAATTCAAATGGCATTTTCTGTCAACTTGGATTATTTCATGCCCTTGTTCATGAATGTGTTCCAAAAGATAACATACATATTCTTTTTCCTTTTAAAATAAAATACTACAGTATTCAACAGGTAACAGTCGAAAGTGTGGGCCAAGGCCATTTCTGACATTATTTGATAGACGTTCAGAAAGCTATTTCTATGTTACCTTTTCAGGAAAAAAAAAAAGAAAGCTATTTCTTCAAAGCTAAATAACAGATTAAAATGAACGAGGGAATTCCATCTCTACCTTGCTTTGATATTGTCCAGCAAAGCAATATATGAAAAATCAAGACAATAAAAGATACCACCAATTATCAAGGAAAAACAGATGTTATTCTTGTGATCATTTTTTAAACTTCTGTTTTTCTTGTTCTTTTCAACTCTTACTGTGAATAGGAACACTTTTCTGTAACTACTATTTCTTTTTCTTTAACTTAAGGAATAGAGAACCATCTATTCAATTCTAAATGACTGGAAAAGAATACAACAGAATAATATACAAGAAATTGCGACTTTCCTATTTATTGAGTGGACAAATCACTGCCTTGTTTATTTACGGACCAATTCAAAAAATCTAACTTCTTTCACTCTATAGATTAAACCCTACATCCTACTCACCTCTATCAATAATATGGTAAACAAGAGGCTTTCACAAACTCTATTACTTCGCTTCAGGTCTCCATCTAATCTCGATTTCTGAAGTGCTAACTTAAATTTCTCCATCAGCATTTTCATTTTCTTTCAACCTAAACTATTAGGCTTGTTAAATGAGCTTCATGCTTGTACATCTCATATATTTTGCTTCACATGCTGTCAAAATATGGAAGTTCAAGCAACAAAATAACTAAATAGTTTCTCTAAAGTGCCCTCAAGCATAGGAGACACCCTGCACATGCAGAAGAAATACACAACAACAAGCAGACACCCTCCATAACAATTAATGCTGTAATAATAATTTTCAAAAAAAATTATTTAGTAGCATATGCATGTGGGATTCTGAAACCTTCAAGAGTCTATTGATCACTCGAGAATGTAAAAGATACTGGCACTACTCGTACATATACATATTTTATACACACATATGAGATTTATATGTATATAAATTTGAAAACACCTAAACCCCACAGAAAGGTGCTGCTCAAAATCTTTTTCAGAAAAAGATCATTGCTATTATCTTTAATAAGATAACAGTCATCTCTCTTTGTAACCTTTTATTTCCTTATGCATCTTCTTGATGCCTTTTTAATAACACCTTATTTCATCAAAATATATATATATATATATATATATATATATATATATATATATATATATATATATATATATATATATATATATATATATAT